TTCACTTGCTCCAGAGGAATTAGATTCTCAGCACATATTTTTGTGTTTACACAAATCAGATTTTGTGCATTCCATTAAGCTGCTATGCATATATAGCAGGTAGCCAGCCACATACCAAGCTGCCCTGTGCCTGCATACTCACTTGTGGAGGACAGCATGCAAGTAAATGCTCCTACAAAGAGTATTGATGCTTATATGCAAGTAACGAGTCATCATGGCTTATATTATCTTGTTTTTTCATTCTGAGGTCTTTCCCTCACCTATTAATCTATGCTTAAGGGACAGCAGTTCTGACATTATTGTTTTCAAGTAGATAATAAATTAATCTCTTTACGACTCCCCACAGATCCTTTTTTGCACCCAAGCTATTAAGAGTAGAAACTATCCTCTTCAATTCTGCTAAAAGAGCAGATTGATTCAAGGGTGAGAACAGGGGTAAGAGTTGAGTATGCCGAAGTCCATATTTAATCAGACATCAACTATATTACAGTACCATTTACATTTAGACCTCTCTACTTATTGGCTCATAAAGTAAGCAAAGAGAAGCCAGACGTGACTTAGAAGTTACATCAACCATTTAAAAGCCTGTCTAAAGAGTTTTAATTTCTATAACATATACAAAAGTATTTAAAATGGAAGAAGCATGTGATTCCTGATACAAGTATATAAAGGTTTAATTCAATACAAAGCAGGCAACGTAATTGTCATTAGTGAAGCAGCAGGAGCTAATAACCTTATAGGACAACAACATTTTAAGTGTCTTTAAACTGGTAAAAAGATGTTTCACCATTAAGGGCCCATATAAGACTTCAACAATGCTTGTGGTGTTGCTTTTTTGTCTTTTTGTTGTTGTTGTTGTTTCTGTTTGGTTTGGAGTTGTTTGTTTGTTTGAAGGTAACTTCATGTTTCATCACACTGCTTTTATGTTACTAACAGCGAGTAAAACACAGTTTAAGATGTACAGTTTAAAATGGTCGAGAAATAAAGTCAAAGTTATTAAAAATAAATTACTGTTCTCAGAAAGCAATCTTCGATATCTGTTGTTCATCTTATTAAGGCAAAATCTATAGTGAGCTATTACAATTCACTTATGGAGAATTTTAATATAACAACAATACTGAGTACAAGTCTTCTATCCTAGCACCACATGCAACAACACTGTTTCTTTTAAATTAAAAGAAAAAAAAAAAAAAGCTTATCTGTGTCTCTGACTTTAGCTAATCACCATGTGCAACTCTGCAGCTGATGTGCTGAGGAACCCACAGACGGGTTTATCACCTGTGTGGTGACAACAGCACTCCCTTACGATTCCAAACACTTCAGCATCCCAGAAGAAGGAAAAACTAACACAAAGGACTGCTCCCCAAGGAAACATTGAGCATGCAAAATATCTGACCCAGAGCCCAGGTGCAGACATGAGAGGCATGCAAAAGCTTTCCCTTCAGAAGTGCGCATAAAAAGGCAATTTCAGTTTCATACAAATAAGATGGCCAGAATGATCAGAAGTGGAAGTGATTGTGGTGATCTTCATCCTTACTGGAACAGTACAAGGATCCTTACAAACTATAAAATCTTTCGTTCCCAAATGAATCCCTCAATCAGATGTCAATGGCTCCAAGTTTCTATGGCACAAAAAGACTGGAACAATGAACTGGCAAATCTGTACACATGATTTGAGGACATAGTGTCTACATGAAGCAGACCCCTCCTTGATTGTCCATCACCCAGAGACACCAAGTCAGTTGATCCAAGTCCTGGCATCAGCCAGATGCTCTGTGGGGTCATGAGGGTGCCATGAATTCTGCAGGCTTCATTAAAGGCAGTGAGTGACCAAAACATTCAAAAGATGCTCACAAGTGTGGAAGTTTAGAAGGTCAGTTGTTTCCCAACAACTCAGAATAGTTCTACACATTCTGAGCATTAAGAACCAGTATTTTGCATTTCCCTCTGACCTGCTTATAATGGAAATTTATTAGGACAATTTAAACTGGCACTAAACAAATGAGTTAAGAAGCTTGTGGTTTTAGTGGTTCCTAGTGCACCATCCTCACGAGACTGGGCATTTGACTGAAGTTACTTAAATCAGACCCATGAAAAAGGGCTTAGCTGGACATATTTTGTTCTATAGCATCTGTGCAGATTAGAAAACTTGAGAATTTTTTATTTATTTTTTTTTTTACTTGAGAAATTAAAAAGCCTGAGGTTAAGTGGGATTTTATGTCATTGTCTTTTGATTCTGCCCATACCTCATATAGCGAGATTACCAGGGTGTAGGTGAAGAGCTATGCTGCTTTCCCAAGACAACTTTAGAGATCCTGGTCTCTCCCTACTTCCTCTTCACAGCAGCATTGTCAAGTTTAATTTCACAGAATCACAGAACTGTAGGGTTGGAAAGGACCTCGGAAGATCATCGGGTCCAACCCCCCTGCCAAAGCAGGTTCCTCAGAGCAGGCTGCCCAGGAAGGCGTCCAGACAGGCCTTGAATATTTCCAGAGAAGGAGACTCCACAACCTCCCTGGGCAGCCTGTTCCAATGCTCCATCATACTCACCATGAAGTTCTTTCACATGTCAGTGTGGAACTTCCTGTGCTTTAACTTGCAGCCATTGTCCTGTCCCCGCAAACCACTGAGAAGAGGTTGGCTACACCCTTCTGTCCCCCACCCCTCAGATATTTATATACACTGAGGAGATCCCCTCTCAATCTTCTCAGGGATGAACAGACCCAGGGCTCTCAGCCTTTCTTCATAGGGAAGATGCTCCAGGCCCCGTATCATCTTTGTGGCCCTCCAATGGACTCTTTACAGGAGATCCCTGTCTTTCTTGTACCAGGGAGCCCAGAACTGGACACAGTACTCCAGGTGAGGCCTGACCCAATTTAATCCACTTCAAAACTAGAAATACTATTTTACCAAAGCATAACAAATTTGTCACTTTCAAGAACCACATTAGGCATCATAGTTCAATCTTCAATGAGAGATTAAAAGATATGTGCTGAAGATTACACAGAATAAAGTTCTTCATTAGGAGTAGTCAAATGAAATTCTGAGGAGTTTTAGAAGCAAATTTTTGACTTGTCTGAAATACACAAACAAAAATTACAAGTTTGTTATTACTACTTGGTCAAATGAAAGAGCCTATTAAGAACATTTATCCTGATTGCACATGAATCTCCTCTTACCTGAAGAATTAGTCTGGATTACAGTAAAACAAATCAAAGGCTGCTCTGTGGACAGCACAATAGTAAGTCGTAAAGCACAAATGGCATTCTTCCCCAGCAGCTGCACTTGAAGAAACTTTTTTTTTCTATCCCTAAAGGCTGCATCTCTTTTGATACATCTGAGTGATAATGCAGTATACTCTACACAAAGAAATTCAATGAACAGGGAGAAAAGAAATAGGAAGGGGTGGGGGGGGGGGGGTGGGGGGGAACACCGCTCTCCTTCTGCAATACAGCCTCACAACAAATAGTCCAAAGATCTTGGAAATCCTGAACTTCTTCCACCTGTCAGTGATTCCAAAGCACGCAACACTTGTTCTTGACACAGTAGAGTTCAACAAACCTTTTCTCCTGCTTTGACACAATTTTACTGTATTTGATTTCTTTTACCATGCAATGGGGCTTCATAAATAAATAGTCATTATCAGATTGAAATGAAGCACAGCTGAAGAAGGTGGGAATATGCACACAGACTAAAATAGGCCTGACCCAGGAAGAAAGTTTCAGGAATTTGAGCACTGAATTTGGAACTCACAACCGGTGTTCAGCACTGAAATTCCTGGTGCAGCACAATGACCAGGGCTACACAAGGGGGTTCCCTGGGGCTAGCACTCCAGGAAGGGAAAGAATATCTACTTCAGTCAGTAGCAAACACCTAGAAGACAAACATATCTCAAATTTCTTAAGTTTACTTACCTCCTTAAAGTCATAAGCATCTAAGATCCACAGCCCCAAAACTCCCCTGAAATTTCTTCTGTCATCTGTTTGTGTATGGACAACAAACCCACTCCTTCCTGAAAATGGTGGAAACGATGCAGGTGATGAAACAATTTGTGTCTTCGTATTGTACACTTCCCCAAGAAACTGGTAAATCTGGATTTAATGACCTTAGCTTACTGATGCTCACAACCACTTCTTCCAGTTTTCATACTGTTTTTAAGTAAGACCAGGAAGGAGCCTGTAGAACTACCAATGGCTAAGAGAACAGTTGAGGGTACTCTATTAATGGGGAGTGAAATAGAAACCAATTTATTACCCACTACACTTTGTAAAATACTCTTCAAATTAATTTGGGGGTATTTTAGAGTGTTTCCTACCACAAAAGAGTAGCCTTCTTACTTGTGTCCTATTTTTCACAGGCTATTAGTTTGATTATATTACATGCTTCACTCACCAGAAGGTGAATTCTAGTTCAAGTTTCTTTTGATTCAAGTTTAATTAGCATCCTATCCGAGGAAAATTGCCCTGTGTAAACACTGATATGTCGGTGTGCCACATACTTCTTGATCATCTTTTGAAAAAGGAGAAAATACATTTTTATGGTATTTCAAAGGAAGAGCAACACATCCACATAAAAAGAAAAAAAAAACACACATACACACACACACACACAAAAAAAAAAAAAAAAAAAGAAAAAACAACACATAAAACACAAGAGAACTTCACATTTTTGTCTGCTTATGCAGTGAAGTTAGATGCAATACATCTTTATTTTTAAATGAATAATGGTCATACACAAATTTCATATTTGGCCTTTGAAACTGTTTACCAGGAAAAACAAAGGTGTGCTGTGAAGGTTTTTTTCGGCATGATTTATTTTGCTGTCATTTAGGACTAGAGGCAATGGCCTCAAGTTGCACCAGGGTAGATTCAGGTTGGAAATTAGGATAACTTTCTTCTCAGAAAGAGCAGTCAGGCATTGGGACGGGTTGCCCAGGGGGTGGTGGAGTTACCATCCCTGAGGGTGTTCAAGGAAAGTTTGGATGTGGCACGTAGGGACATGGTTTAGTGGATGAAATTGGTGATAGGGGGATGGTGAGACCAAATGATCTTGGAGGTCTTTTCCAACCCTTATGAATCTGTGATAAAAGTAAAAACCATTCCAATTCCTCTCTTCCTTCGTTATACTCCAGTTTTCATAGCAACCCAAAGTACTTATCAAACCTCTGCATGCAGTTCTCCTGTCTTGTCCTTTACATCATCATTTACAGTTGGTGCTGACTAGCTGCAGTGTTAATCAGTCACAGTGTACTCCATCTACTTTATCCTTGTTCTAATCTGCTAATCTTGGACTATGCATATAGGACTCCTCATTCTAATGACTTGAGATTTAAATAACTTTTGTTTGTTTGTTTGTTTTTAATCATTTTTATTTATAGAAACTGGCTTTCTCTACTAGCTGGCCACCTACTACTAGTGTCATGTTATGTACCATCCAAAGCCATCACTAAATTGTGAAAAAAGTACCTAATAAGTGTCCCCGTGCTTTGGTTAGGACATTGACTGCCCTACTACCGGACTGTAAATACAATTTGAACATCATGCAGTAGAAAAGCCTTAATCACAAAAAGTAGATAAGCTCAATTTTGAGTGGAAAAATCTGGGTCTTTATTATTTGTTTTACAATAGATTCACCTCTCTTAGAACCTGTATCACACCATCATCAGGAAGTAAACAAGTGTGAGCACAGAGTGAGATCAGGTTTTGTCACTTACCAAGTAGGCACAAACATGCACAGAACAGAGTCTCACAAAGAAACATTTACAAACAAAAAAGCAAAGGGCAAAGACCGAAGATTTCAAAACAGAGTTTATGTGATTGGTATGTCCTCTCTGTGAACTATGTGCAGCGGTGGGTGTGCACGTGGAGGTTTTCAAGGGCACAGGATAGGATGTGTTAGTCAGAGCAAGGTCATAAGCCCAAATACTGATGACTACCTTGCATATAGAGTGCAGAGCACAGACATCGAGATCCGAATTCACCCTCTGGTATAAACTACCCAACAATCCTACCACCAGCAACTACCAGGAGCCTGTCAGAATGAAGTTACTCAGCATAGGTGCAGCCTGGAAAACAAATCAAGTATTGACATCCATGTTCAGCACATTGTCCAGAAATTTCTTCCCATGTAAGGGGCATGTCACCTGATTTCCACATCATCTCTGTTTTTTTTCAGATGAGAGCCTGGGATACTCAAATCTCCATTTCTATTCTTCTTTAGTGCCATTTTAAGTTTCATTAGTTAATGCTTCCTTCCTCGCATTAAATATCAGTTAAATTCAGCCACTGTCCATCCAGCTGTTGTACCAGAGTTCACAACAGATGTCCCATGAGGCTTCAAAAAGGCCAGAATCAGTCTTTGAACAGGAGCAATATATCCTGTGAAAAAGGAGACATTCTGAACCATTTCCCCTGGAAACGGTTGCAAGGCTGACCTGATCCCTTCAGTTAACCATAAAAAAAAAGGGGGGCAGAAAAAGGCTGAAATTTATTATAATGTTCTGGCAGCCTCTGCTTAGCAGGAAAAAGGAGTCTGCTTTCAATTAGTATGGGTTCCTGTTGAATGGTTAGGAGGCCTCTACTCATGCAAAAGCTGCAGCTTTTTCTTCCTCACAAGTAAGCCTTGATAGTGAGCTCTTCTCTCAGGGCTTTAAGTTACTATTCAGCTCTTACATGCACACATCAGCCTCTTTTTCTACTTTTACAGGTCACCCTCAGCTGTTCTCCTGCAATCCTGATTAAAGCAAGTAGGTGCTGCCAATCTGTAAAATTTTTCCAGACTCCAGGCTTCTACTTTTTTTCCAATTTTAGAAATGCTGATGCACATGTTTTTGTACTGCCAACAAACATAGTCAATTGGGCAATCCTAGGTCACCTGTTTAACATTTTGTACAGAGCGCAGGAGTTACTGTTCTAACACAGAAATGTGTCAATTCCGTGGGGCGGCCATAAAGTGCTTGTTTGAGTTCTCTGTGGTGCCAATACATTGCCTGTCTCTTAGCTAACTTAAGTGCTGCTGCTTGTTGTAAATTCCACAACTACACCACACGGTCTGGGGAAAGTCACAGAGCTGTAGGCACCATTTCACTGTGAGACAGAGAAAAGAAGCCTTGCTCGTGGACTCTCACTGAGATTTCACCCCCATGAAAAACAGTTCATTCACAGCAAGGCTGTACCTGATCTGAGGCTTTGCAAACACCTGTTAAATGGCAGGCAGCTGCTTGGCTCAAGCGCGGATAATCCCAATTGTCCCAGTGCATACTGGTGCTGACTATACATGGAATTCTGGTAGCAGAGCTTTTCCATCAGCAAACCCAAACAGGGTCACCTTAAGGGAACTATTTTTAGTCACTGTCATGTCCAGGGTGTAGGATTAAGCACCAGAAATTTCTGATACTCTCACTTTTTTGCTTCAATGTGAATTGCAGGATTCTGCTTTAAGTATTTCTATCTTAGATTTAACCCACCACTGACTTGTTTTCCGTGCTTCTCTACTGGTTTTCTCCACAAAGCAAACATAAGTCTTTCCTAACTGCAGCCAAGCTCTTCCAGCTCCAGATGTAGGTTCAGATGTATTTGACTAGGGGAGGCTCTGAATCATTCCCAGGTGCCAGCTAAAACAAGTCCTCAAGTAACAGGTTTGTCTTTGTGCCCTGTGGTTGCCTGCTTTCTGAACATCAGAGACCACTAGATTGTCTTGGTACAGGTAGTATTTTACGACTGAAGTATAGTATTTTATGAAGAAGCATAACGAATACTACCTTTACATCCCTCTGTGCAGGTTTCTATAACGTCACAGAGCAGAAGTGCAAATCAACATACTTTGTATTCAGCAGAGATTAGTGCTTCAGGACAAGCAACTATGAATACTGTTAGGGGAATGCCAGACATGACACGACAGAAGACACTTGCCTGAGAAATCCCGTCTTTGCACCAGGCTTGTGTGCTCTACGCCTTCGAGGCATAACATTTCCAGGTTAGATTGATTTGGAAAGCATAATGGTTACACACCTTGCATTTCTACACAGACCTGGCCTTAAATATTGTTTTAATTAGTGTTGCTGGTCCTTTCTTGATCATTAGATTTTCTCCTGAGACTGAAGAAGTATAAATGAAAGGCAGATTCTGAAAAACAGAACTCAATATCCATATGGAAATTAGGTTCCTGGTTGTTACTAACGCACCTTTCAATCATAAATAATAAAACCGGTAAGTTATACCCTTTTTCAGGCAAGTTAGACAGAGTTATCATCCAGAGTATACAAAACAGGTCTTCAAAAAATCTATTCTGCATTATAAGAAAAGTGATGCTGAATGATGGATGGAAATCAGTTAAACTGATTTCTGGGACACATTATGCATTAATAAATCAGAGACTGTTCAGTGAAAGAAGTGTAGGAGGCACTTTTATGAGAGTAAAGAAAAAAAGTTTAACATATTTCAAAGGAACCTACAGGAGGATTAGCACTAAGATCTTCTTATGAACACTAATACTGAGCATTTACATGAAGATCAAGAAAACAGTCAACTCCACAAGAGCTCCTGAATGTTGTTTTTTAGAAGAAACTTCTGCTTTTCACTGCACTTAACAGCCACTTCCAATTTCTGAAGCTCTCTTCCCCAGCCCACAGCAAAGATATTAGCTCCAATATTGATCACTAATTATAACACTGCAAAAGAATCTCCCCGCTTAGCAAAAAACACAGTCCCAGAAACCAAGAGAACTTCTACACTGAAAATCAAACACAAACCTCAACCACAGGTCCTGAGAGATGCACACTTTCAATGTGAGCAAAGACAGAGGTCTGCAATTCCTCAGGACTTGCTCTTTCAGGTCACATCAGTGCTATCTCTACCTTTCAAGTGGCTGGATGAACTCTATTTAAAAAGCTGGGAGGGAAGACTCCCAACGTGAAAGAAAAAAAAAAAAGGAAAAAAAAAAAAAAAAAAAAAAAAAAAACCTTGAACCCTTGCAGCTCCCAGGGACAGGGGACTTGTGTAGGCAGAGGAGCTTCCCCAAGCTGCACTTTTTCCTCACAGTCTTGACTACAGATGTAGGAATCTAGGAAGATACTCCTATATTGTAAAAACTCAACACACTTTGGGGATTGCTCTATTGAGGCAAAGGCTCTTTATGCTGCAGAAATTGTTTGTTTCTACCCCCTTAAACAACAACAAAAAGAAATGTTTCTTCAGATTCATTTACAGAGCAACCCTGTTGTTACTAACATGTTGAAGGCACTGTTGATGTTACTATGCAAAACAATTGAGACAGCCATAGAACTGCTATATGCTGGGAAGCAACATTCCAGCTGATAATACAAAACAGTGAAATCTGCAAACGCGGAACTACCATTCTGTCAATAAACCCCTACCCTCTTTTCCTCCTTTGTTCCAGTTCAATCACAAACTCTCAGAATGGATGTATCATGGAAGAGTGGGCTTATATATCAGCAAGTTAAGGTAACCAGGCTCAGACTCAGCCACAAAAACCTCCACGTTTTCATTAAATTGGAAAAAAGTTAAGTAAAGACAAAACATGTCCTGCATTTTCTGTCATTGTAGTGTACAATGCAAACTTCATTTAGGCTGTTCCAGGTACTAGGTCACTTGCATCAATGGACAGGTTATATATAGCACAAAGAAACTCATATTAATTGAGAGCAGTCCTGCTTCAAAAGCCTAACGTTGCTGTGGTCTCCACATTTTAATAAAATGTTTTGTATTGTACATCCATTCTACAGCTTGTAAGAGATGCATTTTCTAGAAAGCTAGAAGTTAGGCAGCATTCCTAAGATGAAGGGCATGCAATTACATGAATACATAGTCACATAAAAACATAATTTGGGACAACTAAACAAGAAATTAAGAATATCTTGTAAGGCTTATAAATAATAGAAAAGAGAATATTCCAAAGTTTTGATGTTCCACAAAAGCTAAGTTTAGAAGGCGATGAAATTATTTCAATTAAACAGAACAAATGTCAGCCATGAATGCCTAGGCATTTTAATGAATTCATCTGTAAAACTATGGTGCATGCTGAGGCACAGAGCCAGTAGGTATATACACATACAGGAGAGTTATTTGTGAATATAATTTCAACCGTGTAAGAAATACCTACTCAGACTGGAGAAGAGTTCCTTGAAACAAAATCTGCAAGGGCTCCAGAAATTTCTCTAGAACCATAGCCTGACTGTAAAATTATCATACACAAAGATGAGGCTGCAAATGGGTCCAGAACTACTGAACCAGCTTGGTCCAAGCAGCTGAAGAAACTCTTTTACCTTGATCCTAATGCATATAAGGCAGTTTTGCAACAGAACAGTTCCACAATTTTAAAATGCAGTACTTCCCACCCTGTAAAGGAGTCAAGAACCAGGCTTCCCTCCTGTAAAGTGATGTATTAGAAAAGTCTAGATTCCTATTCAGTCGGAAGACAACATTCCCCTCCAGCAAAAATATGAACAAGGCAAAGAAGCTACATACACAGTAAATAAAATGGGCAAATAGAGCTGGTACTCAAATTATTTCCCCTCAAGATAAAGTGACTGGAAACAAGAAAATAACCAAAAGGCAACAAGTTTTAAAGTAAGCAAAAACAACCTGCTGCCTGTGCATTTCAGAGACCATCACTGCTAGGAACCCCAAAAATACTGTCAGAGCTCCAGAATACAACTCATCACCCACTGACTCTCTTTTACTGGTCCTGAAGCCATTTCTTATCCCATCTCTTTCAATGAGCCTGATTTCCTCAACCCTACCCAACCACATCACTCAACTCAATAATGGATTTATCCTATTTGCTAAGTAGCAAGCATATGTTACACTTTGGTGGCTAAACAACCTGTGGTGGTGCACAGCATTCCAGCTCTTCGAATCCAGAGAGCCCAAGCTATAGGCTGTATCATATGCATGTAATCAGTATGCTGCATACTATATTGTGTGTCATCTTGATTATGATACATTTTCTGTTTAGTTCACATTTACATTTACACATTTAGTTTCACATTTTTCAAACCTTCAACTATAATATACAAATAAAGCTTAAATCGGTGCATAATTGATCTGCAAAAATCACCCATAGTGTTTCATGTCAACATTAAAACAAAGGACGGTGGAAAAGTGTACACATTAACTATTTCAAAGTCTCAGGGATGTGGTCTTTCCATGTTTCAGGATGTGAACCAAACCACAGCACTGCAGGAAACAGCTTACAGTCAACTTTGTGTTCTTGCATGTTCTCCTGCAAACAGAGCAGACAAGATGAATTATGCTTCTGGCTTTTTATGGCAACTACTGAACCCCTAAGAGCATAAAACAGGTTTGAGTTATAGCAATCAAACTGACAAAAAGTTATATAAGCTTGAAGCACTAAAAGAAGAACTTTTAGCATTAGTATGCAGATTCTCCCAATATCATCCAGGCATTTTGTCAAACCAAAATTAAAGCTTCCAGATCATTAAGGCAAAGCCTGACTCTTCTGCCCCACAAAAATAGTAATAATTACACTGGACCATGAGGACACATCTTTTATAGAACTCACTCCTGTCCTCAAAAACAGACTTTTGCATGACTACCTGCTGCTAACAAACTGCTTTCATGGGAAAGCCCAGTTATCTTCCTCTGCCCTTTTAAGGCACAGCAGGAGAAATGCCTCCAGGTAACAGCTTCGTATTGCTCTTTTGGCAAGTGAGCAATCTAGTCAGGTACATACACCTCAGGTACAGGGAAAGAATTCCTTCTAGGGGGACTCTCAGATGGGTTAGAGTGATGAAGACATGGAAATGGACATTTGGTAGGTAAGACTGGATCTGTTAGAGACTTCACATGGGACAAATGGAATATCAAAGGTTTGTAGAAGTGAGAAAACTGACCTCAGGGAACAGAGAACAGACTACAGGAATGACAAATACGCAATGGCAGCAGCTGCTATGAAATTGGCACAAACAGAAAGAAGGCAAAACACTCTGCAGGTATTCAGCAATTTGTAAGAAACTGCAGCTTCTGAGAGAACATGAGCTATGTAGACAAAGAATAAGTATGGATCTGCCAGGCTGCAAATCAAATTCATTTCCAAGATTCAAGTGGAGAACAAGCCAAACCTTTGAGAAGAACACGCGAAGGTTTCATCATTGTGCAGAGAGGAAAAAAAATTGATATTTAAAAACAAGAAGCCATGAGAAGCATAGAAAACCAGCCCCCCCCCCCCAAAAAAAAAAAAAAAAAAACAAAAAACACCTTTCAACAGTAACATGTGTCCAAAGAATAACAAGCCAAAACAGATAAAATACATAGAAAGCTTATTGTAGATATGCAACTAGCATAGGGCTGGCTTAAACCTTCTTTTAATTTCTATTAAATTTTTATGAACAGCACAGTCATTCCTTTATATGATGATAAATGGTTACACAAAGCATGAGATGATGTCACATTTAGCAATCCAAATCCTAATTAATGAACAGTGTTTGAAATAAATTTTATTAATTTGTGTTAACATTAAAGTGGTGAGCTAGCAAAAGGAAAGAGCATCCTCTGACTTCTCAGTAGCTCTCCACCAAATCAAGATATTTACAGGAGTAAGGTGTCCCTAAGCACCACATCCACATGTCTTTTGACCTCCAGGGATGGTGACTCAACTGCTTGCCTGGGCAGCCTGTTCCAATGCTTTACAACACTTTCAGTGAATAAATTTTTCATAATATCCTATGTAAACCTCCACTGGCACAACTTGAGATCATTTCCTTACGTCGTATTGCTTGTTGCTTGGGAGAAGAGACTGACACTCACCCCACTATAGTCTCCTTTTGAGGTAGGTAGCTGTAGAGAATGACAATCCAAACACTCCCTAACATACAGGCCTACCCCACCGCCTCTTTCCTAGCGTATCCCTTCAGAAGAGTTTGCAGCCATCCATTGCACCATTTCAGTCATGCAAGCCATTCCACCATGTTTTTGTGATGGCAACTATGTCATAGCTTTCCTGCCACCCAGTGGCTTCCAGCTCCTCCTGTTTCTTGTCCATACCACATGCATTGGTGTAAATGCACTTCATTTGGGCTGGTGACCCCGTCACTTTTTTTTTTTTTTTTGGAGGAGGAGGGTGTGGGCAAAGCCCTAATTCCTATACAACCATTCTTAGGCATTTCCATGATTTCTAACTCATCAATATCCCTTGTGACTTTGCTATTACATGGCTCTCCATCCCCTACCTTTACTGGGATGGGGGACCAAGGGACCTTGCCAGCACACCATCCCACAGAATCTGGCATTCTGCCCCCAGGCTTATCTCTAGCAAGCCTGGTTTCATCCCTTTCCCCCTTCAATTCTAGTTTAAAGCCCTTTCAATGAGTCCTGCTAACTCCTGAGCAAAGATCCTCTTCCCCTTTAGAGACAGATGAATCCTGTCTGTTGCCAGCAGGCCTAGCATTGCATAAAATGACCCGTGATCAAAAAAAAAATTAAAAAAAAAAATTAAAAAAAAAAATTTAAAAAAAAAATCTGCCAGTGACACCAGGCTCAGAGCCTGGTATTGATCTGCTGACTCTTCCTGATTCTCCCCTCATCATTCTTTGCAACTTGAGGGATAGAGAAAAACACTACTTATACTTCTGATCCCTTAACCAGTTGTCCCAATGCACTGAAGTCTCTCTTGAATGCCATTGGACTTCTTGTTTAAACTTCATCACTGCCTACCTGAAAAATCAATAATGGATAATAACCTGAGGGCCACACCAGGGAAGGAAGCTTTCTTCAGGAGGGATTTCTTTACATCTCTAACCCAGGCCCCAGGGACGTAGCAGACTTTCTATGAACTGGGTCTTGATTGCATATTGGGTCTCCCATTCCCTACAGAAGGGAGTCTCCTATGACGACTACCTCTCTTGTTTTTCTGTTTGGTTGGTTGGTTTTTGGTGGGAGCTGTCTTGATGCAAGGCATAGGCCAACTTGACCTTGGTGACACCTCCATGCCAGATGAACCATTGTCCTCAATGTTCTTCAGTTCCATTTACAGAGCCTCATAACTATTGGGGAAGGGCACCCAGAAAGGTGGGGGAATCACTGAGGAGATGTATCTGTCACAGCAGGCAGGAATTTGTCGCCATTGACCCTTGACCCTTAGGTAACTGCATGCAGCCGTGTGGAGAGAGGATAGGAACCCTCCACATTGAGTGTCCCTTCTGCCTTCTGGGCCTGTATCAGGGAAGGCAGGGAAAAAATCCAGCATCTATCTCCCTCTCAGACTCCCTGATACTCCTCAGCCTAGTCACCTCTTCCCTGACATTCGGAGCAAGCACACCTGCCTCCCACAGGTGCGCTTGCTACTTCTACCCCAAGCTGGCATCAAAGCAGGGCCTAGCCTGCAGCCTGAACCTGGGGGCAGCTTGTTTCCCCACATAGCTCTGCCTGAGAGGCTGTGGCCTTCTGCTGGGTGGAAGACTGCTCCCTGATCAAAGGGGCCAAGCTGCAGCACCAACTGACCCATCCCTACCACTTGACTGCCCACCCTGGTCACGCCTTTGGACATGGTGGGGACTCCCTCAGGCAGGACCCTCCCCTGCAGGCCACAATCCCCCACTCCATTGCCTCTTGTCCTTTCACTACACACCTCCAAGGAAAGTTTAGGTCCTCCATCTCTACAGACACCCTATAGGGAATGGAAAGCCTACAATATAGGTCCCTCTCTTTCTATCTCAAGGCTAAACAATCAGAGCTCCTTCAGCCCCTCCTGTACACCTCATAGTCTATCCCCTCACTGCAGTCTGCCTCTTACACTGGAGGGAAGGGGGAAACCCCAGAACTAGATGCAGCCCTCCTGTAACAACCTAGCAGTATTCCCCTCCAGGGAACAAGGCTCTTACAGAGGTGGGCTAGCAGTGGCTTCCTCTTCTCATCAACGGGGACATGTAGGTAAGGGAAGCGCCCCACCCGGTAGTGTCTAGTAAATATATATTTGACAGCCTAGTCATGCTTCTTACACAATGATCCTTTGCATGAGGATTTCATACGTTACAGAGGCAATTAGTAAATCCGATACCTGCAGAAAGCACCTCCAAGCCACCTACAGAAACAGCAGCCAATCACAGGGCTAGTGGTGCTCAGCTCCAAAAGGCCACAAAGCCAAAAACGAGTACCTCCTAATTTTAGGAATACACTGTATGGGAAGATACAGCATAAGAGAACAATAACTTAAATCCAAAGGAAAAGATACAAGTTTTAACAAGAGAGAAAAACACATCTTTTACTAAGTTGAGTGATGCTTTTCTAACTACACTGGATAATCTTGAAGAAAATATTTTTTTTCTGTATCACACCCTTAATGGGTTTAAAGAAAAGAAAAAAAGAAAAAAAAAGCCACATATTACTTTAAGAACTGAATCACTCTGACGATTAATGACACTTAGCCAGCAAAGACTTCAAAGACACAAAGCATATCCTTCCAAAATCCCATTCACTCAGCCACCCAGGAGCAAGTAGGTTGGTTCTGCTGAACAACTAGCTAGGAGGATATGGATTTCCTTGTTTACGGCAGTCACACAAGAATCTGAAGTCAGTAGACTTCCACAGAAATTCTGTGAGGCTGACATCCCAAGGAAGGCAGCAAATTGGCATCTCAACTCCATAAGGAAAAGTGAAGGGGTACTCTAAGGATGATTTTAAAGAATTCCCTTGAATTCACACTCTTTCCGCAGCATCCTGCCAGACGTCAAGGAGATTTTTTTGTTTGGTTGTTTTTTTGGCCTAAGGCTGATCACCAGGAGGCTCCTCTTTCTCTCTGACTCCAGAAACCAGCTGCTGACACTTGCCTGGTTGCTCTGGATCTTCTAGAATATCAGCTCAGGGTACCGAGTCTCACAAAAGCTGCTCAGTTCCCTTTTTTTAAGGATAAGATATCCCACGGGAATAGTACAAGAGCTTTGCTAGTTGTGAGCTACATTGATGCTACCCATAACACAAGCCAAGTAAAAAGCAAATAAATAATTGACTTACAAAAACCTAAACAACCACCCTGTTTCTGATATTGCAAAGGATAAGTGAACAGAAGTGTGATTTTTCTCTTCTATCCACTCATCTGAGCATCAGATCTAAGGGGCTTCTCACTCTTTGTTATAAAATTTTAGATGAGAACTGTGTGATGAAGGCTTCACTCTGAACAAGCCTTCAAATCTCACATCTTCCTCACAGAGAAGAGTACAGGCTGAGGGACAGGTTTGCCATAAAACTCCATTCCTCCTGAGTGGCCTC